CATACGTTTCCTGGGGCCACTGGGTTGAAGTTTAAAAATCCAAAGACGGGAAATTTTCGGGTTGTTATGTAAGGATAAAATCATCTTTTTTAATCTATTCTATTTTTAGGTTTGATCCAACTCGCTCATTGTTTATGTGCCCTGCAGACGGATGGAAAAATATAATGTTTACAGCAACTTATCCACCACGAGGTTAGTTTTGTTTTATGAGGTTGATAAACTAATGTTTGAACAACTTTTTTGTAGTTGTTCAAAGTCAAATGTGTATCAATGTCTATTAGTCAAGGCGTTTTCCAAAATAAAAGATCTATTTTTAAACTCAATGATTATTTAACGAGTGTACAAGGTGTCTCATAAAAAAACGTTTTCAAATCGAATTTCTTAAGTAGTCTTGATGGCGGCAGGTGGCCGCTTTGGTATCAAAAGCGTTTATTTGTGCCCAGGAATTTTTCACGTTTTTTATCTTTTTCTCAATAGCTTGATACCCTGTACATGAGATTATGGGTGCCACCATGAGACTTTGCCATAAAATGAAAACTTTGTACTTGCATTGTGGTGCAAAACAAACACTGTTAGGATGACTATAAATTTTAACCATACACCTTATTGATCAGCGTTTTTTTGGAAGAATGAGACAGCTTTTTAAAAAAGGCGAGAAGAAAATCTCTCATGTACGACAGTTTATTATATAATGTAGATGACTAAAGTGTTTGGCCAAAAATCTTAGTTTAGCTGACGGAACGTTTTACAAAATGCCGATTGATTTCATATGTTAAACAGTTTAATTTTAGGGCTATCCGAACGGCGTCGAAGCTTCTAGACCGACAATCACAAAAGGAATCATCAAAGGGTGGATGACATTCATCTAGGTAAGAATTATTATCATTATTTTAACCAATGAGTTAATCGTCATAAACAAAATTTATATTTAGTCGGAACACCTGGTTCGAAGCCAGGATACTCGGGCGCTCCGGTCTTTGATGATACTGGACGTTTGGCAGGACTATTGCTGGGTACAACAACTGGATTAGAGGTCAATACAACCATTCAAGAATGTCTGGATTCGTCTGTGGAACGGAAATACGCGAAAATCTTAGGCATCTCGGGAATCACGGGAATCTATGACTATGGTGTCCAAAGAGGTATTTGTAGTTTTATTTTTCAAAATTAGAATGAAGGCGTTTAGGAACTTCGGACCAGGAATCCTGAAACTGTCAATGATGCGATGCTTGGTTGGAAAAATATATTATATTAAATACGAATGAGGCTTCGACAACAACTGACGTACGATTTTTTGCTTTTAAGTGTAAATCAGAAAAATATTTTTGCTTTTGGAAAACAAAATTTTTTTTTGAATGCACTCAGTTTAATCTTTAATCCTACTCTTTCATTCATTTTTCAATAAATATTTATCAGCTGGCTATTTGGTATTTATCAATAAATCCGCTTAGAAACTCTAGAAATGTTTTTTAAAATCCGATACAAAACGTTGCACGCTTATAACTTTTGAGAGAGGGCTATTTAGCCAAAACGAAAAGCAGATTCATAATCAGCGTAAAATTCTGCGTCAAATAGTATATTTCGTGATTTTGCTACGACACCGGGTTGACATTGCCTTGTTAGTTAGTCAATCTTCAGTGGTGCTCGGTGCATATTTGGATCTTCCGGAAATACTAAAACGGGAGGATTGGGAAGGGGAAAAAGCAATTGTGCCCAAATAGTGTGCCTATTATGTCACAGGATCAATGTGAGCTCTTTTTTCATATTTGTTTTGTTTGTAGAATTACAGTTGCCATTTGCTACTGTTATTGTCAAACTTTCAAATTTATTCAGGTATCACGGTAGACATGGGCGTCGAGACGGGTCAGGCCAACTTAGGACAAAGCCGTCCCGTCCCGAAGGACGGACAAAGTAAAACAAAACCTAGACATAGATGTTGGTGGGAGAATTTTGCCAACTTAAGCCAACACGACTCAATAATGATTCTCATCAACATTCTGGAATGATTGCTATTAGCTTCAAGCGAAAAGAAAAATAAGTGAAAACTCTGAACAGCGTTTTTACATCCAGAGAGATCGCTCCTTTGCGGTGTCCGAAGTAGACGTTATTTGGGAAAGAAAAGGGAAAATTTTTCACTTTTTAATCAGATTTACCCTGATTTTTTTTACTTTGTCGATTTTCGTTATTATTTATTATTTCTCTGTTCTGATGCACAAAAATCGGGACGTTTTTAGACTTTTGATATACTTTAAAATCAATAAAATCACTTAAACAACTTAAACGCGCCCATTTTCTAGAGAATTTCAAAGCATTTAAGAATTCTCTTTCATACAATTTACAGATGATCAACAATTGATCAACTTTTGAAAGTTTCTTCACAAGAAAATTACTCATTTCTATTTAGAAGTGATTATTTTACTCATTTCTCAATAGAAATGAGTGCTTTCCTTCTGAAAAAAAACTCTCAAAAGACGCAATTGTTGACCATGTTGAGAACAAAAAGCAATTCCAAACTACAAACTACAAAAACAAACTACAAAAATGACGATTTGTCCAGCTACAAACGCTCATAACTTGCTTCCCGTAAATCCTTTTTCAGAAATTTTTTCGCCAGAATGTAGAGGAAAAAATTCTCTTTTGAATGGTAAAGCTCGTAGAAACTTTAAAAATATCGCAAACTACAACTGGCCCGATTCGAGTCGTAGTCGCTAAATATTTTTAAAGTTTTCACGATGTACGTGCTATGTTTCTCGGAGCTTTATATACCCGTCGAAAGAGAATTCCTTTCTCTACATTCTGATAAAAAATTCCTGAAAAAGGATTTACGCAAAGCAAGTTATGCGTGTTTGTAGTGAACAGATCTAGTATCAGTATTTCCTCTGTTTACCCCTTTTCACATGTCTCTAAAGATCGAATGTAAGCAATTAAAAAAAATTTTAGCTAATAACGAAATGCGAATGTGGTAATTATTGTGCCAAATTTCAATACAACGTAATGAGTTCAACTCTTTTCCCAAAAAACGTATTTATTTCAGGGTGAATACCTTTGGAGTTGCGGTTGTATGATCAATCCGAATACTGGCAAGGTTGTAGATGGTTGCACGGTGAGATTCTAGGCCGATAAATATTAATAGACTAGAGTATCAACTACAGAATCTATCAAAGCTTGACCCACTTTTGGAAACGATTTCTAACTACCGTGTTTTCTCTAATAGTAGTGCACCTAAATTGCTCGAAATCTTGAAAAGCGCTTATCAGAACCTATCGATGTGGGGTCGGAAAATGTAGCTGACGATGAGATCTTGTGGGGGATTTGAGTGTTGAGCTTCTGCAAAAACTTAGAAACCGTAAATTAGGCACCAACTCGGCTCGGTGCGGTGCACTACTATTAGAGAAAATGCAGTATGAACAGCCATAAATTTGGCCCTTGTATGTTACTTTAACGCAATTTACCATTACAGCACAATGGCCTCAATGATGGTATTAACTGTTGTTCTGGCAATCTTTGCAATAACAAGGATCAAACAAGTAGCAACGAAAACCTCCTGATCAAGACTCTCGCCAAAGCCACTAAAAATTTGATGAAGTAATAGAGTTTTCTATGCAAGAGATAGTTTATGTTCAATGTTATGTGTTAAAAAAAGTAGGTTTCCGGAGAGGCGATTAAACCGTCGATTTTTTGCTTTCCAAGCAATAGTTCTGACCACTGAGCCATAACTTTCTTCAAAATCGGCCAATCTTTATAATTTTGGTTTCATTTTGTAGATCTCAATAAGCGCGCACAAAATTTGGCTTATTGAGCCTTTGAGATCTACAAAATGAAACCAAAATTATAAAGATTGGCCGATTTTGAAGAAAGTTATGGCGGGTTGCGCAAAAAGTTTGTCGCAAAGTAGCCACCTAACCCCAAAAACGTAAAGCAAAACGTCTCAAAAAAGTAATTCCTAACATCGACAACGCTGTAGTTCGTTCTCTTGGACCTCTGCCATTTTACCTTCTTTGAGAGAGTCAAGAGATGAGAGACAATTTGAATTTGAAATATTGGCGAGCACATTTCACACCAACACTTGGAATTTTGAGAAACCAACTGAACAAAAATTTATATTTAGGTTTGCTGTAATAGCTTTGAGTACTTGACGGATAGCGAGAGCAGCAACGAGTTTTGCAAAATCGGCCAATCTTTATAATTTTGGTTTCATTTTGTAGATCTCAAAGGCTCAATAAGCCAAATTTTTTGCGCACTTATTGAGATCTACAAAATGAAACCAAAATCATAAAGATTGGCCCACTTGGAAGAAAGTTATGGCTAGTTGCGCAAATGACCTTGTTGCGTAAAAAATTCGGCGCAGAGTAGCCAAGCCCTACGTTTTTGCCCCAAATGAGACTTTTGCTTGAAGATGGAACCTTTTAAATATCCAACAATTCGACAATTGCTTTTGCTGCTAAGATATTCGGTCTAAAAATTGAACATAGATCTTTTGAAGGCCATGTTTCCCACAGAGTTTTCTTTTTTTATCATTTCCTTTTTGCTCCATCAAATCGTAGAATCAGTATCGTTTTATTCGTCCTCTACAAACTTGATTATTCGTCTCTTTTGGCTTACCGAACCATTGCGTGCTTGTCATGTTCTGATTCTTGTCATTTGTCACACTTGCGAACTGGCTTTCCAAATTTTTCTTGAATCAATTTTGATCACTTTCATTTGTTTCAACCCTATACTAAACTTCATTTTTAGCAAAAGATGGATTTGCCGAGTTCGAATGATGTGAAACCACGAATGATGTGTTTTTTATGAGGTAAAGTGTATCAGGTCATCGCCGGTGTGTCATTTAAGTGAGTTTTGGTGTCTTGGTATTCTGGTGCTGGCCAATAAACAAGACCTAACCAAAATGCACAAATTATTTTTTTGTAGACAAGCAAGAAAAATTTACTAAAGTTAAAATTTTTGCAAGGAGTCGCAAAAATGAATTTAAATATCGTTTAGTGATCCGAATCAAGGTGATGGACGGCGAACTCGTGGCGGTGGAACACAAGGTCTCGTTGCCGGAAGATGCGATAACACAGGAGGCTGTCAAAAAACTGTTTTCCCTCCCTCTGGCTACGATCGTTACGTTGCGTTATGGTGATAATGAAAAGCCAGAATGGTGCAAGTAAGTTTGAGTTTGAAATTTAGTTTTGAGTGTATTTTATCTTCTTTAACCTATTCTAATTTTAGGTTGGATTCAACTGGCTCGAGGTTTTTGCTTCCGGAAGGCTGGCCAACTATGGAGTTCGTTGTTGATTCTCGTACACCACCACAACCAGGTGCTTTGTTTTATAGGAGGTTGATAAACTAATGTTTGAACAACTTTTTTGTAGTTCTTCAAAGTCAAATCTGTATCAATTTCTATTAGTCAAAGGGTTTTCTAAAATAAAAGTTCTATCTTTGAAGTCAACGATGAAATTAATTAGTGTACAAGGTGCCTCATAAAAAAAACGTTTTCAAATCGAATTTCCTAAAAAGTTCTAATATCTGCACGTGACCGCTTTGTTATTGAAAGCGTTTAGTTGTGCTGAGGATTTTTTCACGTTTTTTATCTTTTTCTCGATATCTTGATACCCTGTACATGAGATTATGGGTGTCACCATGAGACCTTTGCCATAAAATGAAAACTTTGTACTGGCATCGTGGTGCATAATAAACACTGTTAGGATGACCACAAATTTTAACCATACACTTTATTGATCGGCGTTTTTTTGATAAAATGTAGATGACTAAAGTGTCCAAAAATCTAAGTTTATATATTAACTCTAATATGACCCGAAGATGCCAGTTCAAAGTTTTAATTTTATGGCATGGTGGTGGCGCTCGTGGCACCCATAATCTCATGTACAAGATATCAAGATAGGGTGAAAAATTCTTTAGCATAAATAAACGCTTCTGCCACCAAAGCGTCCACCTACAGCCATTAGAACTTTTTAGGAGATTGAATTTGAGACGTTTTTTATGAGGTAAAGTGTATCCGATCAGAAAAGTTTACCGAAGTGAAAATTTTCCAAGGTGTCACAAAAATTAATTTAAATATCGTTTAGTGATCCGAATCAAGGTGATGGACGGCGAACTCGTGGCGGTGGAACACAAGGTCTCGTTGCCGGAAGAGGCGATAACACAAGAGGCTGTCAAAAAACTGTTTTCCCTCCCTCTGGCTTCGATCGTTAGGTTGCGTTATGGTGATAATGAAAAGCCAGAATGGTGCAAGTAAGTTTGAAATTTAGTTTTGAGTGTATTTTATCTTCTTTAACCTATTCTAGTTTTAGCTTGGATTCAACTGGCTCGAGGTTTTTGCTTCCGTATGGCTGGCCAACTATGGAGTTCGTTGTCGATTCTTGTTTACCACCACCACCACCACAAACACGAGGTTAGTTTTGTTTTATAGGAGGTTGATAAACTAATGTTTGAACAACTTTTTTGTAGTTCTTCAAAGTCAAATCTGTATCAATTTCTATTAGTCAAACGGTTTTCTAGAATAAAAGATCTATCTTTAAGGTCAATGATTAAATTAACCAGTGTGCAAGTTCTTTCATAAAAAAACCTAGTAAAAATCTTTATTTAGGGGTTTCAAAAATTCTGAACGATTGGGAAAATCGTGTTTTTTGCATTCAAGGTCGTGGTGGTATGTTGGGATCATGCGTCTTATTGAATAATAAGCGCATTTTTACCGCTGCGCACATATCCTTCAAGCTTGGAGATTTCTACCCAATCAAAGGACCCGGTTTGAAGGGCAGTGTGGATGTGCGCGTGCGCTGCGTTTTGATTTGTAACAAACACGATTTCGCCGTACTTGTTTCGGATGCTCTGGAAGACCTCCCACTGTCTACATTCGCACTGCAGCGCGGCTCTAAATATTTCATGATGGTATGCCTTTTTTTAGAGTATTGTTGTAGCTTACCGAATGTTTTGCAAAATGCCGATTGATTTCAGATGTTGAACAGTTTAATTTTAGGGCTATCCGACGAACGGCGTCGATACTTCTTGGCCGACAATCACAAAAGGAATCATCGAAGGGATGATGGTGGATGACATTCATCTAGGTAAGAATAATTATCATTTATTTATTAACATTTTTTTAACCAATGAGTTAATCGTCATAAATAAAATTTTTATTCAGTCGGAACACCTGGTTCGAAGCGAGGATACTCAGGCGCTCCGGTCTTTGATGATTCTGGACGTTTTTCGGGACTATTGATCGGGGGTGCAGCAGATGCATTAGATGTCAATTCAACCATTCAAGAATCTCTGTATTCGTCTGCGGAACAGAAATACGCGAAAATTTTAAGCATGACAAAAATCATGAGTTACTGTGTTTATGCTGCCCAATTAGGTATTTTTAATTTTATTTTTCAAAATTAGAATGAAGGCGTTTAGGTATTACGGACCAGGAATCCTCAAACTTTCAATGATGCGATGCTTGGTTGGAAAAAGATATTATGTTAAAGGCAGATGATGCTTCGACAAAACTTACGTACGATACTAGTTGGGGGCACTATTTTTTCGCCAAAAACGTTTTCTGAGGTAGTTTTCTGCGTAAATCACCAGTTCCATAGTGAGAGCTTAAGGAAATGCGTTTCAGAGCGACTTTCGGGGATCTCTACAGTATGCTTCACCGCGGCTTGAAAATAAAAATTCGAAAACATTTCGAGATTTTCATTCATGTGGTCCCCCACATCGGTCTAAAACGCATTTCCCCAAGTTCCCACTATGAAATTGGTAATCTAGGCAGAAAAACTGTCCCAGAAAAAGTGCTTTCGGAGAAAAAAATATTGCCCCCCAGCTAGTATAATACCACAACTGATTTCATTGTATTCTTGTTTTTATTGTGACACAAAATTGTTGACTTATTTATTTATTTCTGTTGTTATCATTATGTTGAGTTATTACCCAATGCGATAAATCTTGAACTTGAAAACAAAATGTACAGCCGATTTGAGTAGGGTACAAAACTTGTGGATGTTTCACTAGAATAGAGAAACCGGTGGCGAGCTTTTTCGAAAAACCTCTTATCTGCTTAATTGTTGGATTCAAATGAAAGCCAGTTTAATCCTCCAAGAGTCAATCATTTAGAAGAGTTGATATTCACGCATTTTATTCTTTAGAAAAGAGCAAAGGCACAAGTACTAAAATTGAAAACATGACAAAATCGATAAAAATACATTATCCGCCTAAAGATTAAGTGAAGGGGATGATAACGAGACAGAAATTCACAAGAAACACTCATTGTCGAGACAAATCCTTAAATCGTTCCCTTTGAAATTTTTCCACACGTCTTGTGAAACGGTTTTAACGGAATGAAACGAATGAATGGAGTTCGATTGAGAATAATCTCGATTTAATCCTTTATTTCGATGTAACTCTTCAAATAAATATGTGAGAAAAAGAAAATTATCTTTTTGGCAATTTAAATAATAATTCTTGCAAAGCATCAACTTTTTCCCAAATTTCTGAATTTTCTTTTGCAATCCATTTCCACCACGTCTTATCACCAAATTTGACTCCATTTTCACTCATTTTCCCTTTTCGAATCGATTTCTTTTCTTTATTTGCCGATTTTTAGAAAGATGAGGTCGGAACTGAAGATTCTCCACTCCTTGAACTGTTTTCTTTGTGAATCTCCTTGTGAGTTTTATGAATTACAGGACGAAGAAGGAATTTAAATTTCAATGACATGTCATTCAATCAATCAATATAAAAGATTCTAGAAAAGAATTAAACACAAAATTACCAATCAAGTCGTATGCCGGATTGTAATAAACAAAACAATTCAGATTTTTGATGTGACATTTATGTTTTCTTCACTGATCACTGATCACTGTTCCCAACTTCTCTAGCTCTATTCATGAATGGAACGGGAGATTTAAAGGTTATGGAGATTTTGGTATTTAGATTGAAACTCACAATGAGATCTGATTGAAAAGTTTTCAGAGCTGAATTCATAAGTTGAATACTAGTAAAGATCACTGTCCACGAATTCTATAACTCTATTTGCTGTAATTGTATCAATTCAAGAAATGCAAGAAAAATGAGAACTGGGTTTGAAATGGATTGGTGATAAGATGGGAAAATGAATTGCTCAAGGAATTTTTGCGGGCAAGGAGGACTCAAAAAAACTCAAATTTGAAGCGAATATAGGTTTTTTTACAAAGAATTATTCTGTGTTGGATTGAGTTTTGAAAATTGACCGAAAAATAGAAGGATGTGTTGGTTATTTTTGTAAAAAACCGGACCAAGTATTTGTTTTAGTAGAACCAAAAATGGGAAATATAAAAATAAGAATGAAAACAAAAACATTTTGTCAGTTTAAAGCAATCTGGAGGTTCCATTCGCTTTGTTCAACGACTTCTCAAGTGCTCGAAATTTCTCCTCTAATTCTTTATCCATTTTTGCGAATTTCTCCCGATATGAATCAACAATTGACTAAAATTGAGTCATTAAATGAAATGGTTAAGATTTCATGATTTTACCTTGATTCGGATTTCCTTTACTTTCAGGATTTGCTCGATCAATTCGGGGAGTTCACAAAGGAATTCTGAAAGAAATCCTTCTACATGAGTTTTCCTTGAGAAATTGATTGTGAGTAATTTTCGTATTTAACTTTTCACACATGTACGAATTTTCTCCTTCACCTCGTAGCCAATTATCTCTCCCTTCGATTGAAGAGGATTTTAGATCATAATGAGAAACGTCGCAAATTGAACATTTCATCCCTAACCATCCACGAAAAAAATCAGCTGTCCGATGTGTTAAATAACATTTTGTGCAAATTGTGTGTCCACAATCCAGAATAACGGGTTTACTTTCATCTTTCTCCATCGAGTCTTAATACAATTTTTGGATTAATCTCCATTTTCTCACATTTCAGATCACATTTCGGACATTTGAGTGGATTGGTGATCGGCTGAAGATTTTACTGAATGTGATCAATAAAAAATTGCTTTTTAACCTCCGAAAGAAGCCATCCATTTCCATTCGGAGATTCGATAATTGATGGATCGTTTAAAAGAACTGAATTGATTCGAATGCGAATTCGTCAACGGGAGATTATGCAATTATTACCGCGTAAGAAGCTGGAGAATCTGAAAAGATCATAACAATGGCCTTTACAGTTACATTGATGTTTTCTTTCTTCTTCTTTCAATGCTCTCTCTTTTCTCCAACATTCATCACAAACCACTTTTCCACATAATAATTGACACGGACATTTGGGATCTTTACTCGATCTCGAATCTGAAAACCATGATTTGATTGAAATACAAGAGAAAGTGATAATTAATATGACTGATCTCAGACACTGCAACAAATCATTTTCAGCAAAATTCAATATGAAAGTTTTAAATCTTTGGAAAATCCCTTTTTTATGATTGATAAAACTCACAAGGAGATTCGCAAAGAGAACAGTTCAATAGCCAGTATTTTTTTACGGTAAAAATAGTTGAAAATAACTATGAATAACCTTTCAAATCTTATCAAGAATCATTAAATATACTTTTCAATAACCTTTCAGAATTCCCCTCAATTCAGACGAGCACATTTGTCTCCGGCGCTCCAGTGATCACCTCTCCACCGATGGGCCGCGGCGCTTCTCCGCCACCACCGGGCGCTGGTTGATTATCGGAAATATAATAATGATATATAATATAATAACTTATCTAAAGCTATCCATAACATATCTAAAACGCCATAGAACTCTAAAACATTTCTTCTCAGCCGTTCAATGGATGGAACCACCACTGCAAATGCCCGGTGTCCCACCAGGGTTGGAGTATTTGACTCAAATAGATAAACTTGTTATCAATTCAAATATTTATACAAATTCCTACTAAATTTCAATTCTCAAATTTCAAAAAGTTACATGCAGCTGGGCTATTAAAAATTATCCATTCCACATCGTTCAGCAATCCCCAAAATCACTTATTGTACCTGGTATTCGATTTTTGTATTTTTTTCAACCATTAAACCAATTATCTCAAGAAAACCTATTTTAGAAATACAATTTATCTCAACCAGAGCCACTTGTAGACATGTAGACAGAGATAGGGAAACCTGAACATACAATTACCCTATTCCCTCGAATAAACGCTCGTCCCTCGATCAACTTTGGAAGCTTCGTTCTCAGCCCTATTTTGAGATATCTTGCTGTTTAATATGAGATATATCAAAAAATAGCCCTTAATATCTTCTTTCTTTTGGTATATTACGGTAGCAGATTTCTGTGCACTTTTTTAGTTTTTTAAAAAAAAGCTGCTTCTATCGACCACAACACATATTATGGGACATAAAGAGGAATAAAAGTTTTGATTGACGACGAGCAACGTCTCCCCTCAGCGTCTCCGCGAAATGAGGTGCTTTGAGTTTTTTATAGTACACTATATTGTTACGATTTTCGACCACACTTTGTATTTTGTCAGAAAATTTACATTTTACACTTCACAGCCACAAATGGAGAATAATTTACAATATTGAAAAGCATTTATACTGGAACAATTTATAGGCTAACAGTTTATCTTGTAATTTTATGTTGATTTTTAGTGAAAACCTTGATCTTTTCAATCAATGTGATAGAAAAGGCAAATCTTATAGCCATTTATGAACTAAACTTCGAGAGAAACTCAAGAATTGGATGCGACGACTCTC